GGGTGAGGTCAACTGGTGATTGATTTCACATGCTATGACTCAAACATAAAATTAAACACAGTGAAACACCTGTGAGACATCTACGCATCTATCATCTTTACATTCGTTTTAAGCCACATTGGTAACGGTTAACTGACCAGCTCCATTGTGCGATACTTGGTGATTTTGACATACTTTTCCCAACTGCTGTGTTTCCACTCAGAAAAGTTGTCAGATTTATAATAATGGTAATAATGGCAAGTTCTCCTGGATACAATGCCTTTCATGAGTGTCCCAGCTATCATCACACTACTTGAACTGAGGCCGGTTTCCAAGCTATTGACTGACTAGCATGTTCACACAATCCGCAAGCTAGCCAGTAAAAATGCAAGGCAGTCTGGCTTAACCAATGTGAAGACTGACATGGAATCACCAACGTAAGTAACCTGGTAGAGGAACAAAAGAGATTTCTCATAACTCTTCCAATGTTGCCACCTTCTTTAATGCATTATGGCAGCTCCAACCGATGCTTCTCATGTTTTGTATATCACATTAGAAAAGATGTTTTTCCTTTTGCTGGGATGCAGGCATACCACAATCATTTATAACCCAATTGTTATAACATCGATTCATTTTAGCAATCGAAAGCCAAAAAAAGTGTGTTTTGATTTCATTTCATTTTCCAAATTTGAAAATGTTATATAAGCATGTATGGACATATGACCTTTGAAGGCATCCTTGAATCAGCAAACAAAGCATAACACAAGAACCCCTACATCAGGACCCTGCAATGACACTGCTTTCACTTCATAGAATATGTACAACCATCTAGCACAATGGAGTAAGAAAAAGGTAATCATTTTTAAGTTTGCATAGATTTTCTCCCCATTACAATTCCACCAATTCAAAATGTGCAATACAGGTAGGCATTGTAACCACAGAAAAATTCCACTCTAATGTTTAAGACCTAAGGTATGCAACTGGGTTCATACTGAATTTCTGCTTTGATTGTTCTTTCTCAACTGTATCACAGGAGGACTGTAATCTTTTAAGCCTAACAAACAGAAGCCAGGACTTACTAGTGTTTCCATTGGCATTCTGGAAATGCTATCAGGTACAAAGCACTGATACAGACACTACAATGAGATAAAAATTATTTGAATGATGTTACAGCATCTCCATATCTGTTTGTAAGCGTTACACTCACCGGCACACGCGGGGAGACAAAGAACTGAAGCAGAAGAAAATTAAAGAACCAGCGACTTTATGAAGCAAGGCTGATTGTCACTGAGGTTTAATTAAAGCTGACAAAGCCACCTAACTCTGAGCACAACCGCAAACTCAGCATAGAGACCAGAGCAAACCTCAAATTCACAGATGCTGATTCAGACCCCAGAGGAAAAAAAAAGGACAGAATAACTATCTAATCCTTTATGGCATAACTTGTCTGTCAAGACCTACCTGATAAGACTCTCACATTGAAAACTCACAGTAGTTTCACACTCACAATGGCCTCTTTCAGCTTTTATGTTGCCCTGTGTCCATTAAGCGACGTGTTAGGCTGACACCTCTTGCAAAAGCATGCATGGAGAGCCTGAAACTGAGAGGATGCCATTGGCAACTGAGGGCAGATAAAACCGCATTGCAGGAACATTTACAGGATCACTTTGAAGGAGCAATGAATCGAAATACGAATTGATATCAACAGATAAGCCTATTGTTGCTGCTATAAATCAGTACATTAATCCTGTAATAATGTTATAGCCTCTCCTTCTGTTTTGCTTAAAAAAGCAGCTGGATTAGATCCTCTGATCAACATGCTACTAGCAAGAAATTATCAAAATGGGACCAATGGTCACTTTCAATTTGTGACCTTACTTACTGTATTTGATTATATACTATTAATTGTACAAATACTACTACTACTACTAATTCACAGTATACACTCTCTCACTGCACATGTGAGGTTAGTTACCACAGCATACAATTTCAAAAATGCAGAGTGAGGAAAATGTTTTAACTGAAAGACACTATTGCTCTTCTTGGGATGGGAAATGAAATGATCATAGGGCTAATCCATCCAAGTTATAAGTTTCTATGCCATATACTGTATAGGATGTTTTGGATAGATTTCACTAAATCACTTTAGACCATGTAAATGGAAGCTCAGAGAGAAAAGGGTCAAGTGTGTATTAGAAAGAGTGTTCCTCTTTCTGGGAAGCAAAAGCAAATAAACAATTCAATTTCATTTTGGCGCATTTGAGAGGGCATTCAAACTGTGAAGTGTTTGGCTGCAAAACGTTTTAATCAATAGAACTTGAACATAAAATATAAAAACGCACAATTATTCCCTTAAGCCAAATGCTGTTTATGCCAAAGTAGGGCTTTATAAGCAAGGACAGCGAGGGGGCAACCTGTCAAACCGTAAAATTCAAGCAGACTAGCACTTTCACATCAACAATGACAGCTAAAAACACAATCTTATTATTCCTCAGTGTGACAGCTTTACAGAAACAAGGAGTCAATTGCTGACCTGGAAAGTTTGTCACGATCCCTCCTTCCATTCACAATCTGACATAACCATTAGCCAAGCCAATGGCAGCTCTCCTCATTCTGACAAAGCGGTGCAAATACTATTTCAGGGCTTGAGGCTTTGGTCTCTCTCAAAGATGCCGCTTTCAGATTTTTTCAGAGTTCCAGCTGGAATACAGAGCTGCTGTGTCAAACTCATGGACCTTATTTTAAAAGATTTTCAAAGCTTTAACACCGGATGAGAGAAGGGTAAATTCGACAATTTCATCCTCTTTACTACCTCATCCTTTAAAAAGTAATTCACTTTACACTGAAGAGAAAAAAGTAAAAAAAAAAACAACCTTTGGCACACACTCTTGGACTGACTGTACTACACTCTGAATATATTTAATGCTTAATTTCTTGTAGATTGTACCGTTGAAACTTTTCACAAAACATTGCATCAGCAGAATATTTTACCAACAAGGGATACAGTTATTCTCACCCAGTGTTTAGAAACTGGGTTTCTGGAGGAAAAAGAAATACCCATGTTTTCACTATGAAGTATGCAATTAAAAACATACAATTTGAATATGCTCACTCATCTAGTCTCCTACAGGAGAAATAACCATTTCATTACATTTTTCACCCTTTACAAAAACCAGAAGAGAAGCTACAATAGAGCATTAAATAAATGTAATTTAGTTCTAAGGCTATATACTACACCTCAGCTGTTAACCATCAAGTTATGCTCCAATGATCCCCCACAACAAAAACAAAATTGTAAAGGGTCACATAAATATTTCAAAGTGCTTATTTGTAGATCCCCTACAGGCAGCTTGAATGTGTCTTTTTCAATTTTATAGCCTTCATTTGCACACTTAATAGAGAAGACCAAAGAGAGGGAATGAATGTTTTAAGGAAAAGAGAAGTCACCCAAGATGAGGCAATTTGATCTGCCGCAGATCTGTTTGAATTTGAGCAAATTATACTGCCAAAGCCAAAAAGAGGAAAATACTGTATATTACTTTAATCCCTTGAACTTCCAACAGGCAGTACCTGGCGCTGTCCTGCATGACAACATGTAGCTCACAAAACATGAAATGGATCCAGCTGCTGAGAGTTGGATTTAATTCTGTGGTGCTGCATCCACTTCTCTCTCTAGAAAACAACCCAGGTTATTTTTGACTGTATTGACCAGAAATAGTATGAAGTTCCCATGGCCTGAAAACAAACCACAGCACTACTGTAGCTGAACCATTTATCACTTCAATAATCATACTCATTAAAACAAACTGCTCTTTAGCTTTAGTAACATACCTGGGCTTCATTCTTAACTGAAAGCAGGCAATTAAACACAAACAAATGCTTCTTATTCTAAATAAATGTTATCAGCAATATTTATATGGCATGCAAAGTCTGATATACTCTATACTGTGTTTTGAATCCAATGAGACAGCATATTTCTAGCCAAATGGCACTGACTTAGTTCATATACGACAAAAACAAGCAAATATACTTGTTCTATACTACACTAGTTTTTAGTGGAGAAAAGCAAAAAAAAATAAAAATTCAACCATTATTTGAGACAGTCTTTGAAGAATTCCACACAGATTTGACCAGAACCTACAGCTTATGTTTCAGCTTCTCTCTCCAACAGTGTCCTAGATCTGTTACAATGCCCATTAATGGTTTTTGCACCTACATGGACTTTTGGACAAATCAATTGGAATGTAATACTGCTAACAATGTCCACGCATTGCAATCCCTGCCTGTCTAAGGAAGCCTTGAATTTAAACGAACAGGACAAAGGGAGTATTAAGTGAAATTTTGGAATTTTCTGGAACACTGCCCTTCAAGCAGTCTTCGGAAGTTAATGAACCGTACAGTTAATAAAATCTCTATATACCTACGTTTCCTACCAGCAGCTACAGTTAATTAATATACGGTATATGGACAGAAGAATAACAATACAAAGCTATGAATGTAACATAGTATCTTAAATGCCTTTCCTATTATAAAATTAATTTCATATTTTGGGGTTCAATATTTTAAGACCGTAAAATACAGTACTTAACATGATGGGTTACGAGTCTGGTCTTAAAAACCACAACATAAAAACAACTACAAAAAAAAATCAAATTGTGTGGCAAATATTTTCATTCTGCGAGATCTAAAACTAGGCGTCTTTTTTTCTTCCCTTCTCATCTTCAGCACGGCACAGCTGTTCGGATAATGAAGGCAGGATTAAAATTTCATCCTTCAATCTGACGTTTTAACACAAAACGGCTCATTTGCTAAATCTCAGCCCTGTCTCAAAGCCACCACTGTGGTTCAAGATAATTCTTCGAAAAAAATACAATTCTGTTTAATACGAGAAAGGAGGAAGGTATCCTTCTTGATCTTATTGGGTATTACTCCAGCTCACCTACTGTACAATGAATTTTTGAGCACACGGTTATTATGGAGAGTGAGCAAGAACTCCTATTACTTTTGATGGGAATACTCACCTCAGTCCATTGCCCCTGTGCTTGCACCATTAGGATGACACTAGGGTCAGACTTATTCAAGGTATCCCGGTCTAGAAGAGACTTGCATGACACCCGTAGCTCTACTTTAGAGACACAAGCCGTGGGTACCACGCTAAGAGCTGCTGCTGGCGAAGACAGCTCCTGGATCTCATTCATCATCATGGTCTTCAGTGTGTGCAGGCTAGGTTACCACTGATGGCAAAACCTGCTGATGAGGTCCAGAGTGTCAGGGGACGATCGGTATGCTTGCTGCACCTGGACTCTGCTGTACTCGCTGGCCCTGGAACGTCTTCAGTTTGGATCATAAGAAAACAAAGCTGATGCTCTCTCTGAATGGAATGCTCAGTTTCTCAAATTAGTATTAGAACAAGCTCCTTTGAAAAAGGAAACCGGCTTCAGAATCCAGATTCTGAAAAGAACATCAGTGATGTACGGCAGTTTTTCCTTGGCCTAAAATATAGGTGTTTTGCCCAAAAGAATGGCAGCACAGAGCTTACAGGTCATTTCAAATAGTAAAGACCAAATCATCTCACTGACTGGTTTACATAGAGGAGAAAAGAAAAATATCACCATTCAAACAGTGACCAGCTCTACTGAAGACAATTGAGAGAAAAGTGTCCAGATTCAGGAAATAGTTAAAAGGGTGGTCAAGATATTATGTTGTGCTCATCAGTAAAACAGGGAGCCTTAGTGATGTTCCAGGCTCCTGTGAAGTACAATCCGTGCCAAGAAAAATGTTGCTCCTGAATATGAAGAAACTTAAAAAGGGAACGTGTCCAAGACAGGATTTAAAGATGACTTCTTCCTGAGCTGCACATGAAAAGAACCTGAACCAGGAAAAAAAAGAACAAAGATTGACACATCCTGGTCATGTTTAAAAGACATTCCTGAACAATTATAGATGCATCTTCTATTCACTAATGTAAATCTTTGGATATACTGTACATCTTACTTGCATGTGAATATTCATAAGAAGGGGCTGTTCAATATAAATATAATCAAACAAAAGACAAAGCCTTACTCATTCACATTCACTGTTCCCACACATCATACACTCAGGCATGAAGCATTTCAACAACATGCAGGGAAATGAGCTTTGCTCACCGTATTAAACCATTTCATTATCCTGTATTTTTCCAATTTACGCTTTTTTTTAATTCAAGTGAAGGATCAGCTCTCAAGATCCACAGCTGGTGAAATCTTTTTAGATTCCAAAAACTGACAACTGGTATGAAATGATTTGGAAGGAGTTACATTATTTAGGCCCATGATTGGAGAGAGACTAAGGTTTAAACTAGTACGACAGCAAAAATAAAACATGTGAGTTTCCATATTTGTGGTAGGTGTTAAACAGTATTTTTGTATTTGCCTATGTCATTTGTTTATTAAAGCCTTTTTTGGAATAACTGGCATGCACATTAAAGCAAAGGAGGCACATTTTTAGATTATGGTGAAACAGTATATACCATATGGTTTCGAGTGCAAATAAGCATAATGAACACAACGATATATCACAGTACCAGAGGGAGAAGGAGAGCAGACTGAAACAGCAAAAGCTCAGCCACACAAATTATGAAAATATATTAAGCCACATGAACCCCAATCGGATCTTTTTTGTTCCAGATGTTTATACCCTTGTGCTGAGCTTTACATAGATCACTTAGTATTAACAGAATTAACCGAAGCTAGAACAGAAATCCCCAAGGTAAAGGCTTGGTTAATGTGATCATGTATACATATATATTTGTGCATTCTGAGATCTCCATCTGTTGTTACCAGTATTTCATTTTGTTTTACAGTAGAAAAGCCAATTCCATCATATAATAATCCATGGATGGTATTACCATGCTTGCTATCTATGAAAATAGAAGTATTATATTCCAGCTGGAGACGTGATTATTATTGTCCCTGATGCAATATTTACAAAACCTGTTTTGTAATTGTTCGGTGTGGACCCAAATATTTGCCAATATTTTAGTACTCTGTCAAACCTCAGAGTTTTGGCTTATCACTGGACACTTTATATTTAACAAGTTGAATAATTAATAATCTGGCTGTTGTCAACTATTTAAATAGCATAAAACTTAAATATTATGATGTCCATTTTCTGATTGTTTTCCACAACTAAAGGGCAAGCCATTGTACATGTGTAAAACAGTAGATAGACGGATCTAAATGTAGCTATATTTTAATCTAAATAGGTTAAAGTCTAAAAATAAATAGCCATTTCTCGATTAAACTCAGATTGAACGACAATACCTTTCTTTATAAGAAAAGTGATTTGGTATACAGTATGTTAATGTTGCAAAGCGTCCATGCAGAATTTAATTTCAGCACCAAGCACTTTAAGGACAGCTCTCGATAGTGCCGTAAACCCAGGATAGAAAAATATCTGTAATTTATTTTTTTCTCTTTATATAGAACTCATAAATATTTCCAACTTTGATAGTACCATTCGCATCTGAATTTCCGCCGCGAAAAATCTGCGGGTACACTAAGGAGTTTGGGGAATCATGTAAATATGCCAGAGACTAAACAGCCACGTGAACGTACTATCGGTTAAATTCACAATTCTAATTAATCAATCAATAAAAACAGGTTGATGATTAAGCTTATAAGTAAAGTATCAAATTCACTTTCATGCTTCAGATGATCGACGTTTTTTGTTTCGATATTATGCAGATCTTGCTTCTTCTGGTTTTGAAGTTCCTACCTTGTCTGGGGATGTTTCATACACACAATCTCTTTACTTCATGGCCTTTTAATTAAGTCCTTGGGGTTGGTTTTGCGAATTTTCCATGTCTATTGATAGAGCGAGCCAGAGTGAAGCGATATGAAAGTTCAGCGTTTCTTTAGTATAAGAACTTTAAATGCTATTTAGTACGCCTAATGATACATAATACCTAAAACGGTTTTCTATCGCCCTGAAATACAAGTCTATCGCCAACAACAGCCCATTTCACCTAATATGAACATTAAAGGCACAGGAGCGCACGAACACCATTAGAGTGCTAGTAACAAAAACTGAAACATTTAATTATAACAAACAACAAGCCTGGGAGTGCCATACTGTATGTTGCTTTCAATACGTCACGCAATCAACATTAAAACGACATTACTAACTAAAGTAAAATTGTGACTAAAACGACAAATACGCACGACGGCGTGACATGGATGTTTGTAACGTTGTAAAACCCGTAAAAGTGAACAGTTTAAACTAAATTGGAACTTTGGTGCGATATTCATTAGCTAACACGGTCAAAATAGCAGCAGGAGCTCTGTTTAAAAGTATGGTTAAGGTGAAGTTGATAGTCTTTTTTATGCTAGATTATTCTCCAATGACCCTAGTTCTCACGAAGAATGTACGAAGTGTAAACAGGCATGACTGGTACAATGAGACGAGCTAATCAAGCTACACATTCCAATTTAGCTGGAAATGAAACTTTAATCAGAGTCAATTAAGACTCAATATGCAAAACCAAATCACGCGCCAGTACAAACGCAATACAGCTGGCATGAACTGCCAATAAACTCAAATTTGGGATTCCACACAATTAAATTAATGCAAATCACTTAACATCTTTTCGCACATAAGATGATACCCTTTATCTATTTGACTAGGCATGAAAATAATCCCTCTAACAATATAGCCATGATTAATATGTACTCCCGATATTTTACAATGAAGGATATAATGAAGTGGCAACATATTTTGTACTACTGAACAAAGCGAAAACTGACTAATATTAGACTAAATTCTAACTAGAAATAGCATCCATTCTCCCTGTTTCCCTATTTCACTGTTCTGGTCTTTCATTGTTCAAAGCGGTCCTTACCTGCTGCATTCCCTAGAACTCGCACTTGTTGTATAAACCCGTCCTTCCGCCACCTCCTAGTTTTCAGAAACTCAGGACAGAAGACTGGGAGGGAGAGAGCCGAAGAGCCGGGGGGAGGGAGATGGAGAGAGAGAGAGAAGAGTATGGAGCAGCTTGCCGATTTGCTATCCCATTAGCGGCCTCTTGAGGGAGACACAACTACGTTACTCCCAGCTGCCGGAGATTCTGCAAGGCGCAGGCAGCGGCCGGGGAACTGTCAGGCGCGGTAGACAACCGCTTTATGAAGACGCCGACGGCCCTGAACTGCAGGGAAAAAAGGAAACATATCTGTTTAACTGCAAATGCTAATAGCATGTGATTGCAGTCAAAGACAGAACACATGCCCAGCGTACACAATGCGCAATAAAAAATAAAAAGTGTAATTAACTAATTAGGTCTAATGGATATATAAACAGAAAGCAATCAGTGATGCAGAGCAATAATTTAAACAAACAAACTATCGGGCTGTTTTCGATTAATAGTTTATTTAAACTGCCTTCTAATTGCTTTAAGAATTGGGTAAAAAACTATAAATTAATCCAAAACGCACAGAGAATGCCGAAGGTATAGAGACAGATCATGTATAAATGTTTACAGTATGTACAAGATGGCAAAAACATTTAGTACTCCCCGACATACAGTGTGTTGAATTATTGAAGCCAATAAGTAAAAACCAAGGTTGAAAAAAAATGTACACAAATGTATCACTTTTTTCATAACATACTATGGTCTGATGAGTCACAAATTGCACTGCTTCCAATGTTAGAACTAAAGACAATAATGTGAGAAAGAATAGATATACAAAGATCACATAAGAAAGGTTATAAAGAAGGGAAAGCTCATTCAATAATAAGAATGAACTTTCTGTAACTCTTACAGATGACTATGTTATACTGTAGGTAGCTCTCAATTGGAAATCTATCTGCAATTGAAGGAAATATTAACAGAGGAAAATGGTAAAGATATGACTGTGATTAAAAGCATATCTAGTGATCTTAGATCTCTCTAACACAGTGAAACGTTTCAGCACAACATAGCAACCAAATGAACAACAGAGCTTCTATCAGAAAGGGATCAGATGGTAGCAATCCCCTGTCCTAAATTCAGCATGAAAATGTTTGATAGGATCTAATGGATTCCACGTGAGCCAAAAAGACGACCAATCTCAATGTCCCAGGTGTAGTTGTGGAAAAACAAATATTAAAGAACAAATGCCAGACTGTATAAAAAGACAAAGGCAAAAGTGCTAACTTAGAGTGTGTGAATATTTGTTCATTGCATAATGTCCATTATTGTTTTGTAGTATATTGTACAAGTATAGACACAAAAATGTAATATATAAACCAAAAGGAGGTTCAACAGTCAAAACGTTTTTTTCTTTCTACCTTTCAGCATGAAACTAACCCCCACCTGTTTGTTAATAATGAATTGTTTTTACATTTCACTTTTCATCCTAAAGCACTTAGCACACAGGATTGGGCACAGTTTATCCACAACTGGAATGTAGCCTCCACCTGTGAAATGCACAGCAGCACTTGTGTACCAGCAAGCCAACTCCACAACACATCAGGTGGTTAAGTGAGACATTGACTTGCCACTCAGATTAAGAGGGAAGTTTAGAGTACAGATTGTGCAATTTAGCTAGGAAACGAAGGTTAACATACTTATTTTTACAAACAATGCCATAAACTTTTCAATGACCAAGTCACGTCCTTAGAACGGCAACCTCCCATTCCAGTCCTGACCAGGTCCAGTTTTGCTTAGCTCATGAGATCTGACAACATCAGACAAGAAGGTGGGATCAATGCAGTTTTAGAAATAATTATGGAAAAAATAATGGGTATAGCACATAAATGCACTATACATTAAGAGCTTTACGTAAAAACAAAATACGTTAACACCTTTTCAAGGTGGAGCAGAAGACTGTTTTGAAAAACATCAGTTTACCACTGCCAAACCATCCTCAGCAGGGACCATGCTGTTTCAAACACCACCAAAACTGACAGAGCCCTTTCTCATCCATCTGGGAAAGCAGTTGCCATAACAACCAGGTCAGGACAGAAGTCAGTGCCACCTGTCCATAATTAAATCTTCCTTACTCACTTACTGGACCTGTTACCATCCCAGTATTTAATACCCATCCAGTCAGTCTTAGTGTTTGTCAGGAGTTTCAGTGTCCCATTTCCTTGTTTTTTTTACATCTCCATTTTTTTTTTTGCTTTTTCTCTGACTTTGCCCTCAGATTACCACTTTTCTTGGTTACAATCGCCTGCATTTCAAACCCTGCCTGCTTCCTTACTTAGTCTCTGGATTTCCTTTTGGTGCCTCAGCAACCAAACGTTGGCACTTCTCACCTTCAGCCTTGTTTTTGTTGCGAATATGGGCTTGGGTGGTGCTTTGCTGCAAAACCCTGCCTGACTGCTTTCTACCCACAGATCTCCACCTGCGTCGGGATTCCCTCCACTGCACTCCATCTGGGAAAAGCGTGTTGCTTACTGGAGGACTTCCTTCCCAGGAGTCACGGTGTTTATCACATATTTCAGTATCTACAATAATGCCAGTGACTGTACGCATGTAGGGCTTGAGGTGGTGTGGCAATTTCTGAGGGGCTGCCCAATGTAGCAGTAATTGTAATGTAGTATTATACTATATATAGGCAATATTTAAGTTTGATGCAAAAGGTATTAATCAAATGCAGAACTCACATCATATTTCCACTTTTTCCATGTATTTTCCATTAAAGTATATTCCTCAATGCGTTTGTATCTATACACATGAACTTCACTTCCAAATAACGTCATGCATGATGGGTAATACACCTGTTCCATGCAGAAGCCTTTCATTGATTTACTCTTTTCTTGCATTTACACAATCCCATGGAGATCTTCTACTAACAGCTTAGCCACCATTTTAAACTAAATGTTAATCCTCAGAGAGTAAAGAATATAAGATACAAACAAGAGGTGGGCATTCAACCCTTCTCACTAATTTGGTTGCTTGTAGCGAACTGACCCAATGAGCTCTCCGCTTTTTGAAAAATGTCAGCTTTCAGGTGTTACCTCCATTAATATCAGAGCAAGATGTTCCAGACTCCCACATCCATTTCTGCAGAAAACACCTCATCCCTGTTTTAAAGGCACTTTCCTTTAGTTTCCACTTATGTCCCCTCGATGGTGTTTAAGTGTTGACTCTGGAGAGGTGCAATCAGTACACTTTGACAGTGCCCCTGAGAATTTTAAATACTTGAAACAGGTCCCCTAGTAGTCCTTCCTTTTCATATTAAACTAATAATTCAGTTCTTGTAGATAAATCTAAGAACAGAACATCCACTCAAGTACTGAAAGATATCTTATAGCTCTGATTATAGCACTGATACCTTCTTGACTGATTCAAGAGCAGCCATAACTGAATCTTTTCAAATAAAAATTGTCCAAAAGATCTACAAAATAAGATCTTACTAATGCATTTAACATTTTACCATAATACACCTCAATGCCAAATTCTATGTTTGTATAGAGTTATACTAAGTTACATACTAGATTCTCACATTTCCCTGCTTATTGCTTCCTCATATTGTGTAGGTGATGGTAAGAAGTAGTGCCTAATGCTCTATGTCCATGTCCTATTAAGAATGTAGGTTTTTGCCATTCACGCACAGCCATGTGCTTGTCTACATTGAATATCACCTACCAAGTGTTTGTCCATTCCTGAGTTCTGTCTACATTGTATGAGAGACAGATATAACTGATAAAGTTTATAGCTATTCCCAAATCCTGAACATTGATCATAATTAGGAAGAACACCGGTTCCAACACAAACATGTGGTACTCCAGTAATATCCCCAATCTGAGCACTCACCTCTTACACTTTCTGTTAACAATGAATCTGTTGCCTGCATTTTAAAAATTAATCTTATATATTATTATTGTAAAGTATCAGCCGTGAGGAGAATATAGGCCCTGTGCAGGGTTCAAAAAGAAAGCCTCAGGTGGATCCGTAAAAAAATAAAATAAAGGCTAGACAAGAAGGGCGATTAAACCGTGAGTCACCAATCTGAAACACAAGGGCAAAAATCGTAAACCTGCGAACAAACTGAAGAAAAGACCGCGCACTAAGGAGCTCGAGAAAAGAATCTGCAATAGTGAGCAGAGAAGTGAAGAAAGAGGGGAACAGATATAATGACGGGAGTGAACTGCGACAGGATAATTAATTTTAGCGTGAGCGTTTAACACCGTGCGCGTGGGTATGTGAGACCGTTTAGGAAAGCGTGCGGAATGCGTAACATTTACCAAATGATTTCTGAAAATCTAAACATACTGTAACGCAACGGGGGCTCAGGCGGGCGCCCTTGCCGCATCTGGTCGGCCCAAAGTATAGGTGGCTCGAACCCGGGACTTCCGCGTCTCTCTGCAGCGACCTAGCCCCGTGAGCTAAAGAGAGATCTCTCCACAGCCCAGTAGCTGTGGTCCTGCTATCACAGGGATAAGGTTAGGGCAGTAAGGTTATGTGTCTGTGCTAAATGTGCTATAGATCTGTGGAGATATATATGCTCTATGTAACAAACTGTATGCATTTCTATTTTTTTTTTCTTTACAGACGGAGATTGTTGAAGGCAATGAAAGAATAGTTTTCCAAGTCTTATCATCTATACAGCATCTCAGTTCCTGGCTCCAGGTTGTCTGCAAACATTTTTGGGAGTCTACCTCATGCCTAGACAAGAAAGTGTAAAGCTTGGATAGAAATTTAGACAGATTTTTTCTAGTGTGTGCGAGCTGCTGAACAAATCAGGACCACCATTCCTGGTACCCACACAATGCCTGACCTGGAGATATTTAAAGAAGTCTTTTGTTGGTATATGATATTGTGCTCGAAGACGCTCAAATGATTTAAATACCCTCCTTCTAATAAGAAGAAAATTCTACGTATACCTGCTTTTGCCAATTAGTAAAGTGGGAGCCTGTCTTTTCAGGTAGGTCCAGGTTGCCCACAAGTGAAGATAGCATATAAAGAGAGGGATGATAACTTAAGAATTTCGTTATCTTGATCCATGTTCTCTGTACATTTATTATTAAAGGGTTCTTTTTAGCTAAGAGGTTTACAAGAGAAGCTGGTTTACTGAGTTCAGCCTCCATATCCACCCAGGTGGAGTCTGGTGGTGCATGAATCCGCTGCTGGAGGATTCTTGCTTGTATTGC